GGATTCGAATCCCCCGCGAAAATCGCTGGGGTAAAGAACATCCAACTACACTTAAAAAAATATATTTTGCTAACATATCCAAAAATACAATTTATTTCTTCGAAACACATGCGAATATAAATTTATAATCATCTTTAAAGGATTTTAAAACATTGTTTATTATCAATTTTCAAGTCGAATTAATCCAAATCGGACATATGAAAACTATGTAATAAGGAAATTAAACATATATATGAAATCCTATAGAAACTGAACAATATAAATTATTAACATAATTTCAAGCATAACATAAAAGACCTTGAAATAGAAAAAAAACGCAAAAAAAAACGCAACCCTATGCGTTAATAACCACAAAACATAATTTTTGAAAAAGAAACAACCCTATGATACATTAATAAAAAGATAAATATTTGTTTTTTAAAACGCAACTCTATGATGCATCATTAACCACAAAATAGTTTTTTTTAAATGCAACTCTATGATGTATTTGCTAGGATTGCCGTTTGAAAACAGTTATTATTGACAATGTATACAAATATGGGTACTATGCGAAAGGTAAATCATGGCAATGTACGTAAGAAGAAGCTATTAAAAAACCTATCTGAACTAAATAACCATTATTTTTTCTAAAAAAATGCAATCCATACATTTTCAAAGAATGATAGACACACCCTACGATGCCTTATTAACTAGTAAACGGCTTTTTTAGAAGAAACAACCTATGATGCATTAATAACCATAAAACAAGTTTTTCCGAGAAGACGCAATCATATGATGCATTAAAATGGCTTTTTAAAAAAAGACACAATCCTAAGATGTTTTAATAATCATAAAACTGTTTTTTCCAAAAGATGCAATCATAGGACTCATTAACAACCGTAAAACAAATTTTAAGATGCAACCAAAAGACACGACAATTAGTTGTTTTAATAACCATAAAATAGTGTTTTCAAAAAGACGCAACCATGTGATAGATTAATAACCATAAAATAGATTTAATAAAAAAATGCAACCTTTATATGCTTTAATAATTATAAACCAGTTTATTTGGAAAAAAGACGTAACCCTCTGATGTATTAATAATCATCAAACAGATTTTTCCCAAAAAATGCAATCTTTAGATGTTTTAATAACCATAAAATAGATTTTTCAAAAAGACGCAATCGTATGATGCATTAATCACCATAAACCGGGCTTTACAAAAAGACGCAATTCTAAGATGCTTTTATAATCATAAAACCGTTTTCTGAAAAGATGCAATCATAGGATTTATTAATAACAGTAAAACAGATTTCTCAAAAATACGCAATCCTATAAAGCTTTAATAACCATAAAACTGGTTTTCCAAAATACTCGACCATATGATGGATCAATAACTATAAAATGAATTTTTTGAAAAGACGGAGACCTTAGTTGATTTAATAACCCTAAAACTGTATTTTCAAAAACAAATGCAACCGAATGATGCATTAATAACCATAAAATTAATTTTTGAAAAGACGCAGCATTTAGATGTTTTAATAACCATAAAACAGTTTTTATAAACAATGTAACGATATGATGCATTAATTAAAACATCATAGAATTTAAAATTTAGCCATGATTCTGCATTTGATAAAGAATTCCAACATTTGTTACACAAATCAATAATTTTAGGAACTTCTACAATAGTAAAAAATTTAATACTTTTGAATAATTTTAAAATAATAGAATGTCATTTTTATCATTGTTATGTTTTAAGTGAATTTTAAAATTAGTAGTCATATAAAATACACAAAACGTTCAACAAAAAATATATAGAGTTAAAAACACAAATATATAGAACGAACGGGTTTTTTCGAAAAGACGCACTAATAAATGCATTGTCTAAAGAGATCCAAAATTCGTTACACAAATTAAGAATTTTAGGAACTCCATCAATAGTAAAAGTATCAATATTTTAAATAATTTAAAATAATAGATTGACGTTTTTTATCTATCTTACGCTTTAAGTGGATTATAGAACAAATAGCCATAATTAATAAAATTATCACCAGCAGAAAAAACTAAAACATACATATAGGCTAAACAATTTTTACAAAAAGATGTAACTCTCAACGATAATAACATAAAGCGGTTACTTCGAAAAATAACTACTTAACGGGTTTTTTACGAAAAATTACAACCTAAAAATATTCATTTTTGAAAAGACGCAACTCTTAAAGAAAACTAAAAAGCAGTTATTTTTGACAAGACGCAACTTTTGACGAAATAGTGAAAAGACACAACTTTTGACAAAACAGTTACAACGAAAAGACGCAACTCTAGACAAAACGGTTTTAACGAAAAGATGCAACTTTTGCAAATAACCATAAAACGGTTTTTTCGAGAAGATGCAACCCTTCAAAATAACCATAATGTGATTTTTTTTAAAAACAGAAAAACTAAAACATATATATAGGCTAAACGATTTTTCTGAAAAGACACAACTCTTAGCGATAACCATAAGGTCGTTACTTCAAAAAATAACTACTTAACAGTTATTTTTGAAAAGACGCAACTTTTGATAAAATAGTTATAATGAAAAGACACAACTCTTGACAAAACAGTCACAACGAAAAGACGCAACTCTTGACAAAGCGGTTTTAAAGAAAAGATGCAACTCTTGCAAATAACCATAAAGCGGTTTTTTCGAGAATATGCAATCCTTCAAAGTAACCATAATGCGGTTTTTTGAAAAAAACAGAAAAACTAAAACATATATATATAGGCTAAATGATTTTCTGAAAAACGCAACTTTTAACGATAACCATAAAGCGGTTACTTCAAAAAATAACTATTTAACAGTTATTTTCGAAAAGACACAATTTTAGACAAAAAATTACAATGAAAAGACACAACTATTGAAAAAACGGTTACAACGAAAAGACGCAACTCTTGACAAAGCGGTTTTAATGAAAAGATGCAATTATTGCAAATAACCATAAAGCGGTTATTTTTAGAAGATGCAACCCTTCAAAATAACCATAATGCGGTTTTTAAAAAAAAGTTGACTCAGCCTATAAATATAAAACGGTTTTCCGAGAAAATATAATAAAAATATTCATTTGTTTGGGTTTGCTATTATATATAGATTGCCACTTGAAACCACACTCTTACATTTTTTTTAAAGATTATCTTACTGTTTTATTTCTCTCTCTAATCAATTC